CCGAAATCGGAATTTTCCAAAGCTCTGAAGTCACAGAAGCAATCCACAGGCTGAAAACAAATAAAGCGCCTGGGCCAGACGGTTCAATTGTGGAACTTTTCAAATATTTGGACTCTAGCAACGTGGACTCACTTACAAATTGCTTAAATGCATTATGGCGTGCAAAATTGGTCCCAGATGATTTTACCCAAGCTCACATAGCAAGCTTGTACAAAAAGGGCGATCATGAAAATCCTGAAAACTACCGACCAATTTCTTTGCTTAATGTTTCATACAAAATTTACGCCTATATCTTGAAATCAAGACTAGCTATGGCGCTTGAAGAACACCTCAGTCCGACGCAGTTTGGTTTCAGAGCATCCAGATCCACTATTGACCCACTATTTTGCCTAAGAAGACTCACGGACGTCGTAGAACAAGGTCACGATAAATTAATTCTGATCTTCCTAGACTGGGAAAAAGCTTTTGATAAAATTAGTCATGAAAAAATGTTCCAATCCCTCCACAGAATGAGTATTCCAGTTGAAATCCTTGATGCCATAAAAGCTATTTACCAGAAACCGATGTTTCAAGTGATGCACCGAGATAAATTTTCGTCATGGTTGAGCCAACGTACTGGAATCAGGCAAGGCTGTCCCCTCAGCCCATACCTATTCATTGTGACAATGCACGTGCTATTTCATGATGTTCACCGCAGATTCAACGACCCACGCTACGCAAAAACTTTCCAAGGAATTAATTTCCACGAATTGCTGTACGCAGATGACACATTAATTCTGACCAAAAGCTTTGCCAGTGCTAACCAATACTTGCACCTTATCGAAGAAGAATCCCAATATTTGGACCTCAATCTAAACAAGTCAAAATGTTGCTACATTGCTTTCAACTGTCGCGGTTCTATCGCTTTCCAAAATGGGGATCCCATGAAGTCGACCGATGAATCTACTTACTTAGGAGCTTCTATCACTCGCACGGTCAATCCCAAACATGAAATAAGACGACGAATCTCAGCTACGATGGCCATTTTGAAAAAATTGGACATTTTCTGGGGAAAAGCGCAATGCAACAGATCTTGGAAACTGCGCGTTTTCAATGCAGTAATTACTAGCAAAGTTCTCTACGGCCTAGAAACCTTGGAACCAACTGAGTCAGCTGGACGTCTTCTTAACACGTTCCAGCTCAAGGGCTTACGAAAGATTCTGAAATTACACACAACATACATACAACGCCACAACACCAATGAATACGTATACCGAAGGGCAAATGAAACCCTTAACGCGCCGACTACAGGTTTCGATCGAAAAATCAAACCTCTGACCGAAATTTTGGAGGAAAGAAAACTCAAATTACTCGGACACATCCTCAGGAGAGACAGAAACCACCCTCTTCACCAAGCAACTTTTTCAACAACATCCGCTCTCCCGAGAGAAACTGAAATGCGAAGAGTCGGAAGACCCAGACAGTTTTGGACCAGTAACAATATGCAAAAAGCATAGGAAGTGATAAGAAACACAGACCCATCGGCACCCCAAATCCCATTCGACAGATATAACAGAGAGATACGGGAACGAATCATCGAACAAGCCCATCTTTACCAGCCCCCTTTTCACAAAGGAAACGGTTGAAGACTACACAGCTCAAACTCAGTGTGAATGACTCTCAGTGTGAACTATTCTCAATGTGAAGCTCTCCAGTGTGAGACACTTTCAGTGTGAACTACTCTCAATGTGAAATATCATCAATGTGAAGGCTCTTAGCAATAATTGGAAACTTGTTCACTATACTTTCACAAGTGAGCGTGGCCTTAGGAGTGTATATCTTTTAATTCAAAGCTAGTTAGTGCCTACGACCTTTAGCGTTGACCAAGCTGGAGGTTTTGGCAAAAAAAAATAGGGATGTAGTAGGATTTTGTTTTTTTGTGATTTACCAGTTCTGATCATTTGGAGGGCCATGCTGGTTGTCCAAGAATTTCTGGCATCCAACTTCAGTCCCTCTGATGGTCTAAATCTTAGAGTCTAACTGTTCCAGGATTGATTTGCATAGCAAGTAGAATATAAGCCATTAAGAATCCTCTGAAGAAATCTGGACTTCACAGTGTCTCCCGGTATACCATTCGTAGCTACCCAGAAGTTGCTTGTGTGGATACAAGCACTGGCTGCTGTCGTTGGCCTTGCAGTACTTCCCTTTTTTGACAGCCACGAACGACCACTTTCCATTGCATGAAGTCCCATGTGTGTTGCTTACCCTCTGGTAAACTGTCCCATAACTATGGAAAATCACCATTTTTAATGGGAAAACTCACTATTTCTATGGCCATTTTCAATAGCTATTTTGACATAACCAGAGGGTACAGTCCAAGTTGTTTTCCCGCTACCGACCTAGACATGGAATCCATAAGTTTCTGTTTGGTCAACGGGGCCTCAGGCGATCACTCAGAACCAGCTCTATGGCGCCTTTGATGAGGTGAAAAATGGTAAAACAAATGGCCCTGTCGATTGGTTTTCAGATAGGGGATATATGGGGATATTACCCTCTGTTGATTTAAGATAGCTATGGTATAGATGGCCCATTTATAGATGAAATATGATTATTTGCCATTATTTACCAACATTTTTCATGCTGGTGTTACATATATATTATGGATATTAATAACAACCATTGATCAGCAGGAGGCATTATGGATGATTATTCCCTATTATGGGATATATTCATAATACTAGGTTACTGGCCAGTTTCTTGGGGTTTATTGGGGAGAATGATGTGCACATAAAGGGACCCCATTCATAAACCGGTGGGATTTTCTCCTTCAAATGCTTCATGAAGTTCGCAAAACGTGTGATATGGCACAGGATATATCCCATGTCATTGCTGAGTATGTTGTAAGAGTTTTGAACGCTTGCCAAGAAAATGTTATTAATGTGGAACATGTGCTATGGCTATTGTTGAAGCATTTTGGCTGTATATGCATGCTGGATACTGAATGATACTGATACGTTTGTTTCTTCTTTCGGTGGTGGATATTTTGTACGTATCTGGTATGCATAGGGGCAGTGACGCCTCCTCTTAGTCTCTTGTTTGCATGATCTCGGTCGGCCTTTTCAAAAACTACAGCAAAGGAGATTCCACACTGTTTTCGCTTCCGTTGCTATGTTGGACTACTGGGGTGCAAGAGTCAACACATGTTTCCTTGTCAATTCAACAACTGAAACTCAAGCCATGAAATCCAACTAGTAACTAGTCACCAAGATTAGTCCTATTGCTTAAACCGCTTAAAGTTTCACTTCTAAGCTGGGTTTTTGAATGTTCTTGATAGTTTTCCCAAGTAAGAGTTAAGTTAAGTTCATTTTTTGATAGATATGATATAGTTATCTCCCTTTTCTTATCCCCAGTTCAATGGATTGGTTTACGGGAACAAATGCAGGAAACCAAAACATACCCTCTGGTAAACTAACATAGCAATGGAAAATCACCATTTTTAATGGGAAAATCCACTATTTCTATGGCCATTTTCAATAGCTATGTTAGTTTACCAGAGGGTATGTCATGGGAAAACCCACCAGGTGACGCGCGAGTGGTCCGATGGCGTGGCCGCGGAGCTCATTCGCAATGCCACCAGGGACAATCACAACCCGGAAACTCGGCGACAATACGGACATGTTTATCTAGTTGGTGGTTTGGAACATTTTTTATTTTTCCATATATTGGGAATAATAACCCCAACTGACTTTCATATTTTTCAGAGGGGTTGAAACCACCAACCAGTTATAGTAGTTTATAGTCATGAAATTATAGTCATTATTACGTAGTAAATAGTAGTTTATAGTAGTGATGAATATTAATAGTCATGAAATTATATTGATTAATTAATTAGCCTCTGGTTATTTAACATACTGTAGCCATGGACAATGCCCCCTTTATAGATGGTTTACCGTTCTTAAACATGGTGATTTTCCATGACTATGTTAAATAATCAGATGGTAGTCGATTAATAGTGAGTAATAGTGAATATTCAGTATATACCCTCTGGTAAATTTTATTACATGGCTATTGAAAATACCCCATTTAGTTCGTTGATTTACCTATTATATAATTAGTGACTTTCTATAGCTATGTTAGTTTACCGGAGGGTATATAATCATTAACTATAGTTTAACTATAGATTATTTATCAATCACTTAAATATCATTAACTATAGTTTGTAACTACGGATGATGAGAAACTGGTGGTTTCTTTAATCCGTATTGAAGTCTGCTACGGGGGCTACGGGGGTACCCTGAAATCATCCATGTTCTTTTCGGATGTTCCATTATAAACCAACTAAGTAACTATAAATATGGCTCATGTAACTAGACATTGTATGGGGTTTTCTGAAGTCATGGGGGATCCCCAAGTCACAACTGTTTCAATACTGAGATGGTCACTTGGATGATTATTGGGGTACTGCAGCAGGTACCCCAATTTTAAGAAACCTCCAAATGCCCAGGGATACTGTATGTCGGACAGCCTAGTGTGACCTGACAATGGGACCCCGGATTTTTGTCAGCTTCGGAATGGACGTTAACGTTGGTGGAAAATGATCGGGATCTATGTAACTCCAACTGTGAATATGGCTTAAATCTGACCTGGTACTGTTACCCTCTGGTAATTTGTCACATAGCTATTGAAAATGGCCCATTTATAGCGAGTTTTCCCATTAAAAATGGTGATTTTCAATAGCTATGTTAGTTTACCAGAGGGTAAATCTGACCTGGCGCTGGTAAATCACGTCTTCAGTAAATAGGGAGACTTATCCTGAGATGATCCTGCATTCTTGTCATGTGCCAGTGCGTGCTAACGCATATTTAAGCGTATCTATTCACATTGACACACATGACATGCGCTCGTGCACGTGCATATAAACAGTATGCTCTACAATCCTATAAATATGTGCATGGCTTCATGTACATGTTTATAGATGCGCGAGACGGTCGTGGAGCAAGCCTCAGGACCATCACTGGGTGATGTTCGATGGCCCTGTGGATGCGCTATGGATCGAGAGTCTGGGATCTCAGTCCGTCTGGATGATTGAATTTCGTCGGCCAAAAGTTATGCAGTAAGTTTCCCATTGCCATTTTTTGGTTTGGAACATGGTTTTTATTTTCCCATTTGGGAATTTCATAATCCCAACTGACTAATATGTTTCAGAGGGGTAGGTATACCATCAACCAGTAAGTTTCCCATTGCCATTAGGTTCTATCAGGGTCTTCTGATTGAGGGAATCCAGTTCCTGTTCGATTTTTTGACATTTCTGGTTGCTGGTTCCATCTAGTAGATCATCTAGAATCTAGAGGGGTTGGCCGCTGGTCGATATGGGTCGAGGTATGAACACCGTTTTGGATGACAACAAGAAGCTTCTTGGCTGAAAGAGGTGCTGGGAGCAAATAAAAGACCATGGCAACCTTGGGTGCATGCCATGGACATGACAACATGTGCTCTACCCAGAAGATTTCAAAAAATCATTAAAAAATCTAGAACCATGAACCATCCCAAGATTACCAACAATTCCCAGAAATGACTCCATTTTTCAGGCAGCTCTGCTTTAAGGGTTTCTCGAAACGCACGGTGACAGCACCAGGCTATGCTTGGTGAGTGGTGAGATCATTGCCATCACCTCAGCTGTCGTTTTTTGACATCGCCCTGCGACTAGGGAAGACTGGCCATGTTTTTTGTGCATCACTGAAGTGGGAAGATATGCCCATCTTTACCAGTTATACCTATATATATATATATGTGTGTATATATAATATATATATATACACATACATAATGATGTGTATATATATATAGAGAGAGATGTAATATCGTAAACATTGATGTCTACCTTTGCAAGCATGAATAAATGCTCGTAGCGTCGTTTGGTTCGCATGCCAACGCTGGCATGAGAACCCACCGATCCATAACAGTCATACCAGATAACAGCACCTTTTTTGTCAAATGAGTCATCAAGCTTCCAATTGTCCATGAGCTTATGGCGTGACTGAATGCTTTATCCAAGAGAGATTTGAGTCGAAAGGACGCCGATCGACGAAGTGCCCCTATTTCGGAAACCAATACTGGGTCCTATCCCAGAATTGATTCTCAAATGCGTCTTCATTCAGAACAAAAATGCGCATCAGAGACAATCGGATAGAAAAACCAGAACTTTCCCATATTTTTTCCCATATTTTTTCCCATATTTTTTCCCCTATCTTTTCCCATATCTTTTCCCATATTTTTTCCCATATTTTTTCCCATATTTTTTCCCATATTTTTTTCCCATATTTTTTCCCATATGTTTTTCCCATATTTTTCCCATATGTTTTCCATACTTTCCACGTAACTTTCCCATACTTTTCCCTTATGTCTTCCCGTGCCGAAGCCGTGCCTTGCGGGGTTAGATCATCGCATCTGCACCGAGGCCTTGACGGCCAAGATGCGCATGCAGTTTGAAGTGGAAGATCTGGAAGTGGCCTCGCAACTGGGCTTTTAAATGTTGGGAAAAATCGAGCTGGATACCCTCTGGTTATGTCAAAATAGCTATTGAACATTGCCATAGAAATAGTGGATTTTCCCATTAAACATGGTGATTTTCTATAGCTACGTTAGTGTACCAGAGGGTACATGATATACTTAAAAGCTATATGAAGATAATATGATGATAATATGATGTCAGACATGAAGATCTAATTATCAAGTATAGCAAAAATGAAAATGTCGGATCTTCCCAAACTTGGATATGCTTTTTCCAGCTGGGAAGATCTCAAAAATCAATAGCTGAATGATTCCTAGAAATGAGAAAGAATACTTAAACATCCCGACATGCCTGTAAAAGTGTATGACAAAGTAATTGAAACCAGAATTTCGGGTTGAGAAACGTCATCCTGAGATATGTCACCCTGAGCGGTTCTGAGAATGGATATGGGCAATGATGGGTATGAATCAGAGATAGATTGTATACATTTATGCTCATTTAATGTATGCCAAATGTATACCAACCAAAACTCGATATTTCACATGGTTTTTACCCTCCATTAAGTTAACATAGACCCTGAAAATGACCAATTTATAGTGGAAACCCGTCAAAAAAAAACCGATGAATGCCAGGGTCGAACTGTTAATTTACTGAAGGGTAAATCATATGGTGAAACATGGTGAAACATGGTGAATCACCATGTTTTTCCATGTTTCACCATGTTTCCAGTAAATTTATATAACCATATTGGTGAAACATGGTGAAACCATGAAAACCATCCCCAATGACATCAGCCATGAGACGCATCAGTGCAGTGATCCAAGGCCTGCGACGGTGTCGCGTTGTGGGATGATCTATATGGAACCAGAGAGTTGTGTTCACCCAGGGGGCCCTATGGGTGGGGGATTTCGTCTCGATCGTTTTGGGGATGATGTTTCTAAAAAAAATCTGTTTGGTATTCGATATAGTCACTGCAAGTGATATATATTAGGCGAAAAAAATATGATTACGAGGGTTAAGCAGCATATAAACATCGTTGATTGTATATATATATATATATGAAATGCGAAAAGTTCGTTCACAAGTGTGACACGCTTCCCCGGTGTTCGCACAAAAACAGATCCACCACATCCAGGAACCCTGCGGTTCTTGGGGTATGTCAATATTGTGAGGTCCAACCAAGGACAAAATGAGGCCTCCAAGGGGACACTCTGAATATCCAAAGATGTCATTCAGGGGTTAGGGTAATGGTTATGGACCAAATTGATTAATTTGGACTCCAGTGTTTCAGCAATGAGTTTCTCGGATTTTTGCATTTCAGAATGCGGAAGGTTCAGCGGGAGAGAACGGGTTTTCCCCACTATTCCTGTTTGTCTCCTTGTTTGCACAAATTATGGTGATCCATCCAATAGCAGTTCTTTTGCCCAAGTCAGCTGTCCTCCGTGGTTTCCAAGAATTCATGGAGTATCGTGTCATTGCTCGCCCGTGAAATTCCCAATGATGGTTGGTGAGTCTTGTTAGAACTTGTTGGTGGTTTGCAACATGTTTTATTTTTCCACATGTTTTATGAATAATAATCCCAACTAACTAATATTTTTCAGAGGGTAGGTATACCACCAACCAGAGAACGTTGATTGAGAGAATTCTGCGGCTGCTGGTTTCAATAAACTGCTGGTACGCCCAGTCACCCAAGTCTTTGGACCTTCCAGTTCGGTATTGGAACCTATGGTGACGACTGGGGATCCACCATTTCAAGAACCTGGATGATCCCTTCAATGATTACGCTTATCAAACATCCGTATGGCTTTTGGCTTTTAGTTAAACCCATGTAGATGTCTAGTTAACCCATACTTATAGTTGGTTTGGAATGGAACACATCCGGAAAACAAATATGATGATTTTTAACACAACTATGGTATAGATGGCCCATTTATAGGTATAGATGGCCCATTTCTAGATGATTTACCTATAGGTAGCCCTTCCCTTATCCCGGTCGCGACATCATCCAAGGTCTGGGCTTCCAACCCTTCTACGACTCGTGGCTCCAGGTGACCCATGGAAAACCGCAACGGTACAGGATGGGGCCCCCATTAACTATGTAAGATGGTTTATAAAGCCCATGAATACTATAGTTACAGGTACCATAAACCATAGTTATTGGAGTTATGTGCACCAACTTAGCTATCTAGGGCCTAGGGGGCCCCACTTTGTAATATGATGATTGGCTGGCTATAATTATAAATGTAATTTATATATGAGCCACCGCAAAAACCCCGGCAATACTAAATATGTATTGGACCAACATTGGTTTAACATTGATAGAAATTGTTAAAATCACACGGTAAGCGATGGGACCTTCCCAAATTAGCGATACCCCTTTTCAAGGTTATGTCATTGTATTTCTCTAATATCCACATTAGCGACAACCAAATTGGACATTGATGTCTGTGAATTATATGTATATATATATGTAGCAGTTTCCTGCAAGCGATACCCCCCGAAGTTTACCATATATCATTATTGTACAAACGCGTGGTAAGCGTTGGCTTTCCGTGAACCTAGGGTTTTCGAGATTGCTCATATATATATATATATATTTGTATATACATATATATATATATATTTGTATATACATATATATACATACGTGTGCGTGTGCGTTTTATATACGTCATATGTATTAATATGCGTTTTTGTTAGTATAGTTGTATAATGTTGTATAGACAAAATGTCAGTGCAATATATGTATACCCTCCAAATGGCTATTTTTCATGGGGAAAATGATGATCATTTATCGGAGGAGGCACTAGTATCCTATTTTCTGACGAACCCATGTGGACGACAGATTTTCTCGGCCCTGCAGACCTTGCCTGAGACGTTTTCATTCAAGCCGGTGCTGGTGCGGTGCCCGGGGCGTGGCTCGTGTGGCGAAGGTGGAACATCAAATCCAAGGACTTGAATTTGGGGGGATTTTTTCGGGTGGTACCCTCTGGTAATTTAACGTAGCTAATTATTGAAAATGGCCCATTTACAGTGGATTTTCCCATTAAAAATGGTGAGTTTCCATAGTTATGTTAGTTTACCAGAGGGTACTTGAGGGCATAGCCGGCATAGCCATGAGCTCCGGAATGTTTATTTCATGGGCATGAAGTCAGACTAAGGAACAGACCTTGCGCAAGCTCCTGGAGGAATGTTTGGCTCCATGCCTCAGTTACGCCCGGGCGACCAAGGCACAGAAATCAGGCGTTGTTTGGAACGACATATTTGGGGTTGAAACGATCCAAAAGGATCCGGTAGAATGATCCTAAAATCAAATTGTTGGTTGCAGACTTTGGCCCATACTGAAGCCATTTGGCCAATGGTATGGTATGGTAACAAGATCAGTCGAGTTATGGGATGATCGGCAGTCCGCGAAGTGGCAAGCAATCGATTTTGATGAACACATGCCCGTGGCTCAACTTGGAACTACAGTATTGACATGATTCTATATTGCATAATCTATAATATAATATAATATATATATAATATCTACATATCTAATGGTTGCGACCCTACCTGGTTACCTGCCCTCCCTTGCGCTTCGTTGTGGGTCCAAGCTGGGTTGGAGGTGACCCTAGACAGACAATGTGAAACTGTCAGGTCATGGACCCAAAGAGAGAGAGAGAGAGATATATATATATATAAATATGCATAAATATTGAATTATCAACTGCAGGATATACATACACACACACACATATATATATATATATACATATATCATATCATAATAAATGTACATACATATACACTAGATCAAAGGTAGAACAGACACGAAGCATCCCAGGATTTCATGGATATGTCCCCAAAAAACTTCCAGTGAGACCTCCACCGGGAAGCGAGTTTCGATCGATTTGCCATGGCGAGCACGGCGCGAAGGACCTGGGAATTGGAGAATCAGGTGGTGCAGGTGCCCAGGGATCAACTTCAACGGGGGTTCCATTGGTACTGAACTGATGAGTTTAGGGAGATACTACGGCAATAGTGGAATATAATTTATATGTATATATATATATAAAATGTGGATATGATGGGGACATGATATTATGATATCATATATGATGAAAAATAATCTGGATGATAATCAGTTTGAGTTTGGTGGGCAAACAAATTTGAAGAGGTTGATTGAATCTAGGGTAGTTTCAAACCAACATGAAAATAGGGTAGCCCAAAATTTTATGGTTTGAAGTTCGGAACTAACCTCTTTTCCCACTTTTTCAGGCTTGCCTGCCCCTCTTTATCTATAGCCATTGCTTCTAAAACTGCTTGTGTGTGGGGTTGTTGGGAGCAAGGCGTTTGAAAGGACAAGGAGCCAAGGAGCAATTGAGTTTCCCCATCATAAATTTGAACTCCCCTTTCCCATATGTTCATATATCGTCAATATTTGTTCAATATCCCCCATGTTTCTTTGGTTTAATCCCTGTTACCCTCTGGTAATTTAACATAGCTATTGAAAATGGCCATTTATGGCGAGTTTTTCCACGAAAAATCGTGATTTTCCATAGTTATGTTAGTTTACCAGAGGGTAATCACCCTAAAACCGCCCATGTTTTCGGGTACCAAAAATCGGCGCCAGGTGGACGACAGTCAGATTTACGCCTTCGATCAGGCGGAACAGGACGCCATCTTCGAAAAGAGACCCTGGAAGGAAGCGCCTCAGCTGGGTCAAACGGTGGACCCCCAAGAAAAAACAAGGGCAGTTGAGGCGGTAAAGCATGGAAAAGTCATAAGTCACACATAGAACATCATAGTATTCTATGAATAATATATACATATATATATATTGTATATATATATATACATATGTGTGTGTGTGTGTTTTTGGAGTGTTTAAGACAACTTTGGGTGTTTTTTTGAGCCTTGGTTGTGTGGATTATAGTACTGAACTAATCTATGTGCATACAAGCAAGTTCTGAACATTACAATTTTTGCTGATGTATGTTCTGCTTATGTCTTAAATAGCCACATGCAATATCCAGCATTACCCAGGAGGTGCAACTATCTGAGGATGTGAATTTCTTCAAGTCCGTGCGGATGTCTGCCATTGTGACCCGGCTGTTTGGCGCTCCGAACAGCATCGGATACAACCAAAGCCCTCACAACATCTCCATCCATTTGGTGGTTTCCCATTGAAGTACCACGCAACATCACCCAACACACCTTTTGCCTTCTTTTACCCCAACCTTTATCCCCACTTACAGCATCCAAACCAGCCAATTACAAGGTGGTGCCACCTGTTAGTTGTTTGCTGCTTACCCCCTACGCAGGTTCAACATACCACAAAGAATCGCAACAGTGAAATGTCTGAATTGTAAACCAACTCGTAACTCATCTTCCATAAGATCATAAGTCAACTATAACCATAACTCCCCCATGTTGAGCATATGTTAAAATCCCCATGGTTTTTCTCTGGAGTCTCTGGAGGGCTATATTTTTTTTTCGCGGCAGGTTTTGGATTTTTTTTGGGGTTCCTGGTTCTATGCTTTCCTGTTTCTCTGAATTTCTGCTTCTCTGCTTTTCTGCTTCTCTGCTTTTCTGCTTCTCTGCTTTTCCTGCTTCTCTGCTTTTCGCTTTTCCTGCTTCTTTGCTTTTCTGCTTCTCTGCTTTCCCTGCTTCTTTGCTTTTGTACTTCTGTGCCTTTCTACTTCTACTATTCTACTTTTTCTTTTCTTCAGTCATGTGTTTTTGCTGCTCCATTTCCTGCTCCTTTGCTTCTTTGCTTTCTGTTTTTACTGTCTCTTTGTTTTCCATTTTCTTTTGCTTTATTCTGTTTTGTTTGCATCCTAAATGAAACCCTAGAGAGACCCTAGGGGAAACCCAAAGAAACCCTAAAAAAATCCTGATAAGAAACCCTACATGAAACCCTAAATGAACCCTAAAGAAACCATAAATTAATCCTAAAGAAACAATCAATGAAACCCTAAAGAAACTTTAAATGACACCCTAAATGACATCCCTAAGAAACCTTACACAACACGCTGAGAAAAAAAAAAACTAAACGAAACCTTAACTGACACCTTAGCTGAAACCCTAAATTGACACCCTAAAGAAATCCTAAATGAACCCCTAAATTGAAACCCTAAATGAAACCCTAAAGAAACCCTAAATGAAACCCTAAAGAAACCAAAAAAAAACCTAAATGACACCCTAAATGAAACCCTAAAAGAACCCTAAAGGAACCCACTTGAACGTTTAGAAATCGTGAAAAGAAATCCTTATAAGAAACCCTGGAATGAAGCCCTAAAGAAAACTTAAATGAACTCCTGAATGAAACCCTAAATTGAAGCCATAATTTGAAACCCTAAAGAAACCTGAAATGAGACCCTAAATGAAACCCAAACTGAAACCCTAAATAAACCCTAAATGAAACCCTAAATGAAACCCAAACTGAAACCCTAAATAAACCCTAAATGAAACCCCAAATGGAACCCAAACTGAAACCCTAAATAAACCCTAAATGAAACCCTAAATGAAACCCAAACTGAAACCCTAAATAAACCCTAAATGAAACCCTAAATGAAACCCTAAACAAAACCCTAAAGAAACCCTAAATGAAACCCATTTGAACGTTTAGAACTCCTGATAAGAAACCCCGATAAGAGACCCTACATGAAACCGGGAAAAACCCTAAATGGAACTCTAAAGAAACACTAAAATGAAACCGTAGAAAAACCCTAAATGAAACCCTAAAGAAACCTGAAATGAAACCCTAAATGAAACCCCAAATGAAGCCTTAAATAAAACCCTAAATGAAACCCTTAATGAAACGTTAAATGAAACCTTAAATGAAAGCCTAAAGAACCCTCAAGAGACCCACATGAACGTTTGAAGCACCAAAATGTAGCAAATACATGCAAATACCATGCAAATGAGAGGTTGAAATGCCAAAATATGACAAATACCATGCAAAATGGAAGGCGCCAAATGTAGCAAATACCATGCAAAATGCAAAGTGACCATGCCAAAATGTAGCAAATACCATGCAAAATGACAGGTTCTAGTTCCAAACTGTTGCAAATACAAGGCAAATGGTACCGGGAAAGAAAGCCAAAAAACATAAATCCAAAACCTGCAAAACAAAAATCCCCAAACTCTTCGTGACAACCTGTTTTTTTCTGGTGAAAAAACGTCCCTTTTTGTCAGCTGTCTCCCCCGAGGCGATGATCAAAATCGTGATGCACGCCAAATCGGGGGCACCACTGGAGGTCATGGGCCTCATGCAGGGGAAGGTCACCGCGGATCGCGCGCCTTGGAGCGAGATACATCAGGGGCGGTTTTTTAGGGGCGGTTGATGAAGATTCATGGTTCACTGATTGGTGGCTTGGAACATGAATTTTAGTTTTCCAATGTTTTCCATATATTGGGAATTTCATCATCCCAACTGACGAACTCATATTTTTCAGAGGGGTTGAAACCAGCAACCAGTTTATGCACATTGTCCGTAAACTAGAAACTAGTGACCTCACTGGAACGATAGAATGTTTTTCGGGGAGGCATTTCTGGGTAAGTTATAGTGCATACCGCGATGTTCGAAGTTTCAGGAAGAATCATCATCCCATTCGTCATTTCAATGCATGAGATGTCGATTGTTCGTAGTTCCCAAAAGTGTAAATAGAGCCGAGCTCCACCGGATCAATCAAGGTCTTGTCTGCAGGAAAAGTGTGACCTTACTGGAATCATAGTAAGGGGAATCATCCCAAAACGGCCGCAAGTTTCAGGGTTTCAGGTTCGTGAGATATTCTAATTTATCCAGATGGACACGTCGCTATTGTGTTCCGTTCCAATATGTCAGACTCCTGGAAGCTGAAACCTCCAAGCAGTTGTGTGAATTCAAGAGCAGTTTGATGTGTTGAAATCCAATCTCGTCTTCACCCAATCTCCAACAGTTGGATCTGGCTCGAGCATGACCGCCAGTCAACTTCCTTCGCCAACCTATTATATGAAATATTATTAATTAGGATAATTAGGTAACCAAACATGTCAACTAACCATGTTTAACAAAAAGGTGCCTTCAACAAGATTTCCCAGGAATTCATCATCATGGACGCCTTTCCCTTACCAGTGGAGGGTACGGAGACCCGCGTGAACGCTGGCGCCGGAGCCAACGAGTTCATGGTGACCTTCACTGAAACCTGTGAGCGCATTGGCCCCTCGACCTGTCATGGGAGGATATACCCTCCAGTAGGCCAACCCAAAAAGGCTAAGTGGATAAGATTGGAGAAATGCGTTTATTCCCAAATGATCACCGATGAGATTCCCTATAATTATTCCCGCCAGTAAAGTCTAACATATGATCCGCCAATGTGCAGATCATTTCCAATTGAACCCCCTTGATTTCCATCACTGGGATGGGTCGCACATGTCCCCCCGCCATTTCTGATGGGTTGAGTTGTCACCGCCGAGGCAAGGTGGAAAATGTGTGTGGCTGGTACCATTCCCATCCTGGCTATGGTTGCTGGTTGAGTGGCATTGATGTGCAAACTCAGATGACGCAACTGGGCTGTATTGGAAATGCATGGCATGGCTGGTCTTTTGATTCCCTGTTTCGCCATGGTTTTACTATGTTTTACTTCCTTCTCGTTATAGGGTAAGCTATTAAGAGTATGGCCCACCAAAGCAACGACCTGTGCTTGGATAATTCCTGAAATTAGCAGATGACTAGCAACTGTTTCTTTTTTTTCAAGAAGTAATTATCCTCGTCCATTGAAGTTTGGCCTAATGCTGGGTTCTGTTCTCAAACTAGTCATGTTTTATTTGTATCAGTCAAGTCGTCCATCACCGTCACAGGAAGGACAACCCTTGTGACTGGAACGATGGGACATACCATCTCCTTGTGCAACATTCTGAGTTACTCAACCCCATCCCCAGTCTATCCATCAAACATCAGACATCAGACATCAATGCAAACACATACACACACATACTGACATACTGTATTTCCTTTTTTATATATTTATATATATATATACATTTATATTATATATATATTATATTATATATACATATATGTATTTATTTATTAAGCATCTTGTGATTTGCACATCCCATCCCCAACCCCCATCCCATACTCCACTCCCAGGTACCAGCAGCACCAGGAGCCCTTCCTCGCAGTGGTGGTGGACCCTGTCAGGACCTGCGCCTCTGGGAAGGTCGACATCGGTGCCTTCCGCACCTACCCCGCGGGCCACACACCGGCGGACGCTCGGCGCCGATGCCATGGATGCCATGAAAATCTAGGTAAATTATAACGACCTCACTGCGACCGAACCCTGGAATCATGGTTAGTAAGGGGAATCATCCCCAAATGGCCTTAATTCAGGTTAGTGAAATATTATAATTTACCCAGATGAAAATTCTGGTGGTTTTTTCAGAGTTCTGCATGGAATTTCATGGATCATTGGAGGATGAAGACGTTAAGGATTTTTGTATATTTTTGTTCTAGGCTGAAGAGAATGAAATAAATTTCATGACATTTATTTCAAGTGGGACGGTCAAGATGATGTCAAGATGGTGGAGTAGCCGGCACATTGTACATGTTTATACTATTTTATACTGAAAATGATGGTTGTGTTTGTGATTTCCTGGGTCATACCCACCCCATCAAGGCTGTGACTCTGGTTTGATGAAACCACGATGGCCATTAAAGATCTCCGGCACATTTTCCAGTCAGCCCGTTTGGAGCGTCATTGTTTCATGGAAGAGTTTTTTTTGGCTACAAAGGAAGCCCCCCGAACAATAGGGGTTCAATGGGGTTTAATAATTAGTTTAGTAAGCCCTTAATCGCATCTTGTAACTTCGATGGTGGTGGATACGTGTTTTTTCCTCGAACGCAGTGGCACAGTGGGGAACATCATTACGGGTTGACGCGAATTGCGGGTTAAAACCACCAATCTGCATGCAAATCCCTTCTAGCTTAGATCACGGTAGCATGATGTGGATGTTTAACCTACAGGGCTACCCCATGCTACCCCCCAAATCATCTTCCATGGATGACCATGACTTAGCAGTGTAATACATGGTGACGACTGGGGTACCCCCATGACTTGCGAAAATCTCCATGGATCAGGACGAAGGTCCAGGCGAGTATCAGCCCATTCCCTTGGACAAGATCGAGGATTTTGGCGTGCACTGCAAGCAGCACCTGGGCCGAAATCTGGGGTACACCCAGGTCATGCCTTTGCCAAGTTGTGACTTGGTAATTTTGGATATATTATATATATATGATTTAGATTTCTATCACCAAGAACAGCAAAAAGAAAAAACAACAACACATATCAACACCTATCACAAAAGATTGTTGGTTGGATATAGTTGGAGCTGACACTCCTTTTCCGCTTAGCGGAGTTGTATCTTACTCGCCTTTTGCTCTGCTGAACTCCTTGAGAAGGCGATGGAGAGAGATATGTTTGGATGTTGTAGAAAGATCCTTACCCTCTGGTAAACTAACATAACTATGGAAAATCACCATGCTATTAATGGGAAAATCCACTATAAATGGTGATTTTCCATAGTTACCTCATCGTTGCAAGTCTCCACTTAACCGCCGAGGTATTACAGTCTTCCTATCGAAGTCTTCAAGCCGCTCGGCGCGCGGATATTTTTGGTGGGATGCCGATCCATAGCGGATCCATAGCTTTTTGGAAACACACCGCCTGTGTGAAGTCCATAGATTTTATCCATTTTTATCCCATAAGTTTTCCATGCTCTTGAGGTTTGATCAGAACGTATGTAGAACGTATGTAGTATGTACGCAAAGTGGGTCTTACTCTTAGGGGAGTAGGCTGTAGGTTTGATCGGACAAGTATGCGCAGCCCAGAAGTCGGTCGAACTTTCTCTTGAACAGGATGATCTACATGGTTTGAACAGTTTCCGTAGTTGTTGCAATGGTATTGATCTACACCAAGTTGAGCACTGACGGAATATTAACTCACGTTGCTGCTGCTGCTGCTGCTGCTTCTGGTGTTGTTGTTGTTGTTGTTGTGCAATTCCATGTCTCACCCTCTCCTGACCGGTTTCGCGTCAAGGAACAGCTTGGACAATACCATTTTGGAATTGCTGTGGAACAAGTACTGGATCGACACCCTATCCAGCTCACCGCTGTTGCACAATCGAGGCTTTTGCACCTTGGCACGCCTAGGAGATCATCCGACCCGGAATGAAGCTCCTTCGAATTGGCTGGCCATGAACTACTTGTTGGCATTGGTTTTTAATGAACTATTTGACTATTTCTATATGTTTTCATTAAAATTTCTTGGGGCGATAGAAATGTATTTTGCAACCGACTTCACCCAGTATGGCTTTCAGCTTGCTGGGCAATAGTGACTCCACCCAGTTGGACTGCCATAGTGACTCCGCCGGGATAGTCGGGATATATCAATATATATATATATATCAGATATTTGATGGTATTTGTACAGCCAGCGCCATTTAGCTAACTTGTGAACAACGTTAGATGCAACAAAAAGCTTCGCTGCAGTGGGTACTGAACGGATGTGGATGTGAAACACAACGGGGAAACCCAGTGTGGGGATCATCGTCCGCCCGAGGTAATCAGATGATCCAAGACTGTGTGCAGAAGATGGTCGCCTGAACAAAATCGGGGCTTTTGATGTATGGAAAACGAGGAGGAAACCCCCACCATTTGTAGATGATTTACCACTTACCAGCTGGTTAGATTTATATATTTAACGTAGCTATGGAAAATACCAATGTTCAATGGGTAAAGCATTACATGTCATTTTTAAATGGACCATTTCCTATAGCTATGTCAAATAACCAGAGGGTACCTATTAGAAATGCTGATTTTCCGGAGCCACGTTGGTTTATGATATGTTGAGATGTTGTTCATTTTTGTGTTTTTTTTCATGTGCTAGAACAGGTCAATATATAATCCATTACTGTACACTTTATCTCAAATGAATAAATTGGCACTAGGTTTGGAAACGTCTCAAAATCTCAAAACACAAATCAACACACCCACATATACAGTATACAACTTTTGAATACTATGTGACTATGGGGACATATGTGGACTATGTGATATGTCGACATATGTACCAGTTGCATTTGAAAAGTCCCATTATTTATACCATGATTTTTTTCTCCCATCCATGAAAAGATCCGGCATCCCCCAGATTCATCCCATGAAAAGAGCCATTAAAAATACCCTGGTTGATTGGTTTACATAGGGAATTATACTATCCGGGTTGTTGGGGATTATGAATGATTATGATCCATAGGGAAATCGATCAACCATGATCAGCCAGTATTTCATAAGATGGGATAATCATTGTCATTAATCTTCATCATGACTTATGAATAGATCATAAGATTAATGAACGTCCATGGAATATTCCCATGATATTCCCATTACCCTCTGGCAAACTAACATAACTATGGAAAATCACCATGCTATTAATGGGAACATCCACTATAACTGGCCATTTTCAATAGCTATGTTAGTCATTACCAGAGGGTAAATGTTCCCAATTCACCTTGGTAATCCAGCGTCCGAGGATCAGGTCGACATGGCTTCGGCCTCCCAAAGCCGTTTCCGGGTGCTGCATGAGCCGCGCGGACGACGCAAGGACGACCTGTTGACCAAGGTGGCCATTGATGCAGCCACCTGGAATATGGGGGTAGAGATACGTTTTTTTTTTTTTGGGGGGGGGGGGGGGTTATATAAGTTTACCCATACCATAGTTAGTGACTCTTTTCTTTTTTTGGGGGGCGGTTAAGTTCACCAATTTTAAATAGTGACTTGTTTTTTTTTAATGTTTTGTTTGCGGAAAAAGAGTAAGGGTTGGGGTTTAGGGTGATTGTTTGAGATTGGAGTGGGCTGGAAGCGACTCTGGCATTGATGGTGCCAGATTCAAGGCATTTTTTTGGTTCCATATCCCATTATTTACTTCCGGAATGCTCGTAAACCCATATAGGTAGTTCAATCATTTATATGTTGTAAGTGTAGTATATGTCCATAGTCCATTACACTTGACGTATAAATTATTATAGGTCCATTCTACTCCAATGGGGCTTTCCTAATGGATAGCTAGATGGTTTATTATGGAAAATCCCAAAAATTAAATTGATGATTTAGGGAAACCCACATGTTTAGGACACCTCCATACATCCATTTTATAAATACTTCCAAGGTGTGTAGTTCCTGTAAGATATAATATCTTCATATATCCCAACTAACATCCCTATACTCATATAACCCACCAATTATATACAGGATGGTGCCCCCCAGTTATGTTTGTTGGTTTATAAAGTAGAAACCCCATGAATACTATATAGCTATATCTAGCATAAACCATAAACCATAGTTACCATCTGGTTATTTAACATAGCCATGGAAAATCACCATTTTTAATAGGTAAACCATCTATAGATGGGCCATTTCCCATGGCTATGTTAAATAACCAGAGGGTAAGTCCCATTAATATCCCATTGAATCACTATAAAATCCCATTAAATCACTATAAATCACTATAAATCCCATTAAATCACTATAAATCACTATAAATCCCATTAAATCCCATTAAATAACTATTTTTCTTGTTGAAATCCCCCCAAAAAAAACGCCGCAAAAAACGAGGCGAAGAATGCGGGTGAGCAGGTGCAGGGCCTCACATCGCAGGTGCGGTCGAGGGCTGGTTGTGACTCTCTCAACATGAAAAAAGTGGGAGGTTTACCCATGATATATGGGATTTATGGTGGTTTTATAGGGTGTATATGGTGTGATATGGTGGTTTTATAGGGTGTAATATGGATTTATGATATATGGGTTTTATGATGGGTTTAATAGGGTTTAATGTTGTTTTATGGTGATTCAATGGTTATGATTAGTAGGATTGTTGCTGATTAATGGGGGGTTGCAATGGATATTAACTTATGGTGAACTGGAGGGGGTGGTTCTAACAACCGACAAAGGACACCATCTTGTGGTAAAGTCCCCGTTCTTGTATAGTTACACAGTGAATTGAAACAGATAAGTAGGTTTACGGATGTTTACGGTAAATATCATTAAGTTATATAAATCTCGTTCTTAATGATTAATGTCGAGAAAACCAACAAACATACAACCGAAAAAGGGTCACCACCAACCTTGATTTGCTGAACATGATTCTTCCAATTTTCCATGGGAAATCCATTGAATTACGGAATTTTGTCCCAATTTGTTTTTTGTGATGTTTTTTGGGCTTCCTAGCACTCCAAGTAGGGCTATATAAATCCACATCTTTGGTGAACTCGGCGAAATCCCTTCGCTGCAGGTGGTGAAGTTCGCCCTTTTCCAAGGCCGCGCCTGCGGCTGCCGGGCAGCCGAAGCGGCTGAAGCGGAGCCGGGGCCGACGCCCATGGAGAGCTGAGGACCAACACGACCGGTGCGCCATGGACGGCGAAGGGAAGGAACCAAAAGAGCCGGAGCGCCAGGGCAGGGGGTCATATTATCGATCATTTTTAGAGGAATTGTTGAAATGTTAATGCGTTTTTTTTCCATATGTTTGTTGTATTGTTTGTGTTTGTTTTTGTTAGTCCTACCATTGCCATGATGATTTTGATATCATGAAATGTTGGAAAGCCGTGAAAGTGAATGGGAGAAATTGCAAGTTTGCAGGCCCTTGTCAGGCTGCAACACGATGGAAAGCATGGGTCTTAAGTGCTGGACTTCACCGAAAGCATGCTGGTGTCGGCGCTCAGGTGATCAAGAAGACAGTGCGATGTGTCATGAGCTTGGTGATCTGAATGGATGGCTCGGCAAATTCATTGTTTTTCCGCCTCATGATTGGGTATTCCCTGAATTATGGATGTGTGTGTGTGTCGAGGAAGTGTGTTGCATTTCCAGTTACCATGGGGTATCAAGACTCAGACCAACGATGTAATTATTGCCCTTTGGGTGTTCAATTTATCATCAGTGGAATCAGTTTGCGTAGTCAGATCTAGAGACATCTATTAGCTCCAAACAATCCTCACCTGCACAAAAAAATCACCGGATCCATAGGACCTGATTTCACCACCTCAGAACCATGGATTGATCTTTAAGATGATGCCGGGGCTCCATAGGCCTGACGCGACGCCTGGATTCCTTGGACCACTCGTCTCCTCCGAGGTGACAACCACAGACAACAACTCGATCCAGGCGAGCGAGCTTAGCTGCCAAGCGAGCAGCTGAGCTTGGCCAAGTTTGGGACATTTTGGGACGCCATGGAGTCCAGGATTCTGGTTCAAATGTACAAAAAACAAGTGTGCCATTTTTTGGGGTCAAAAAAATATGAAGGTTGGTAAAGATGATCAAAAGATGGAGCATCTGGTCTTTATGTTGGGTTGGTTCCATGTCTGGCTGTTCAAGGTGAAAAAAAATATGTTGTTTATTGTTGTTTGTTCCTTTTTCTGGCAATAATTTCAAACTACCCTCTGGTAAACTAACATAGCTATGGAAAATTGTCATTTATAGTGAGTTTTCCCATAAAAAATGGTGATTTTCTATAGCTATGTTAGTTTACCAGAGGGTATTTGCGAATGGAAGACAATAGAAGCCCCTGCTGCAAGATGACTTCTCACATGGGGCTAAAGAAGTCAAGCGTCATGCTGGAGCGTAAATACATTCACTCCAGCTAGCAGTGGAAGGTGGTGACAAGCCAAGCCCCACCCACTGATTACATCATCAGTCTCACCAAAAGCAAAATCATGGAACACCATTCAGATATGTCTTTTTGATTCCCTAGGCACCCCTCCCCCGCAACAAAAAGGAGCTTTTTGTCGTACTCGTACCGAGACCCGAAGCAGCCAGGCGCTGTTCCGCCTGATGGATTGCTACTTTGTGAACTACGTACCCAGCGAGCTGAAACCCGCCAACACCTTTAAGGAGGCGGTGGCGGAGTGCCTTGGTGAAACCGCCGTACATGAGATGGAGAGAGAGAGACAGCCAGAGAGATAGACATATGGAGATAATCATAATAATATAAAGAGATAGAAAGTGAGAAAGAGAAGAGACCTCAACGACCTGTCGGTCCATCAGTGGCTTCGCTCTGCCATCCGTGACTCACAACAACCAACCCCTCCTATAGGTTTCCTATTTTTGAAACTTCCGCCACCGCCTTGTGCGGTACTACTGGTAATGGTTCAATTATTTCATGTAGTTTAGATACAGTATAGCATTATATATAGGTGGCAAGAATACTCAGTACTAAATGTGCTCAAATGGGTTGTTGGGCGCATGACAGATAGCTGAACTCAGATCGCGACGCGACAGAGAGAGAGAGAGAGGGAGAAAATAAAGATAACGTTAACTGGTTTTGTAATGTTGACAATAAACAGATAACTACATAGATGGATGGATGGGTAGATAGACAAGACAGATAAGATAAGATAAGACAAGTTTAGATCAGCTTTGATTAGATAAGATCAATCACGCAAAAATGGTTTAACTCCTCAATCAAGCTCCTCTATTATAGTTGTTCATCTTATGAATCTTATGGGTTAGGCATGGTTACCCTCTGGTAAACTAACATAACTAGAACATCACCATGTTTAATGGGAAATTCCACTATAAATAGCCATTTTCAATAGCTATTTTGACATAACCAGAGGGTAAGGCATGGGAAAAAGGCCATCGGAGGCTGCTCTCACCCTCGAGGTTTGTCCCCAACCTTGCGCCGCTCTTCTTCTTCTGCCTGCTTTGGTCCATTGGGGCGACATGTGACGCCAAGAGCCGCAGGGGCTTCAGCGATTTGGCGCGGTGGCCTAGGAACAAAAATCGGGGAGTGGCGCTGACATTTCGACTTGAGAAATCTTGGAGTTGCAACCCCTAAAACCATCTAAAACCATCTAAAACCATCTAAAACCTATGAAACTTAATTGAATTGGTTTATTGGCTTATTGACCTTATTTGACCTTATTTTTGGCGTGGATGGGTGAATGCGTTCTCCCGTTTGGCCGAACATAGCTGATTTGGCAAGACAATTTGAATTCGAAGCTACCATGAATTAGACTTATGAGTAGCAGAACCCCAAAGAATTTCGCCATCTCACCACATTTCCCCAAAATTGGAGGATCCTTTTTTAAGTACCATATGGATGGATCCGAGCAGCCCAGCAGTTCCTTCAGTCCATCGGAGTCCATCGGAGTAGGTGTGGGCCATGGTGAATGAAGATCTGAGACCACCGGTGGTGGAGATCTTGGAAAAAGCCTTCATTCAGGCGCCGAGATCTGATCTGATGAGATCTGTTGAAGTGGAATGGGACTCAATGGGCTCAATGGATGGAAATTTCTGATGAATGACACTCTGAGGCTCTGAGGTTTTGGTCAGTTTTGGTCAGTTTTGGGATTGCATCTGGAAAAATCCAGTGAGTCTTTTGAACACATAAATGTCTGAAACATTGAGACAAACGGTTTGGAAACACCATCACAAAAAAACCCTGGAGTAGATAGAACTTCCATGAAGATCCCAAAAATTCAAGACATCATAGCTAATAGATGCTTATAGCCCTCTTTGGGACAGTCAAATCATGTCAAATGCAGCCTGATTGTTCCTCTAACTTGCCTGAAACTTGAGGCGGACAAAGCCTTTTCAAACGTGGCTGGAAAAAATCCCGAACTCATTGGAGGTGTGTAGCTGGTTAAAACCTCAATGTATAGAAAATGTTCCCATATTTTCCCATGTTTTTCTCATTGAACTTGTCCAGCCATCGTTGGATGACAGCACTTTCCATGGGGAGAGCAGGTACCTCCGTTGCAAGAGAACGTGACCTTTCCAGGGCTGGAACCAGGGGAGCTGCTGTATGACTACTTCTATGATCAGGTCGGGTAGGGCGATCCGGCGAAGGTGCACTGTCCAATTCCCAGCAGCCATTTGATGTTCAAATGTGACATGTTAGTCAATGTTCTCTGCACATGCTTGGAAAGAGTATCAAGAGTTTATGCACATGAGTTTTAGTGTGTTTTCTGCATGGGATGGCTGAAAATCGATGAACCGTCCCACTATTGCTGTTGCATGAAATAGTCTGCAAGCAAATTTGACCCCCTTGACCCCTCTGCCACCTTGAACCTGTCTGTGATTGACAACGGAAGTGTTGAAAACATATCATATAGCATCATGCTCCTTCAATCTGATTGATCTAATGGCGAAAATTAAGTTGTAAATGGTTTGTTGTGAATCATCACGAACCGAGCTGTGCCAGCGGTTGGGTTAGCCTTCACTGGCAATGGAGCCTGAAAGCAAAAGGCGCAAATTGACCAGTGAGGCTTAGGAAGTTGCGGTTCTACCAGAAAACAAGAGTGAGGAGCCAGTCAACACCCTTCAACTGAACGTGTCGTTGCCCAGTGGCCGGTGTGCAGCGCTTCCGCGGCACCATTTTGGATCTAAAAATGGCCGCGCAGCTTCCGGGCTTCAAAGTGGAGACAGCGTCATTGCTGTTGCATTGTAGCACAAAGTAACAGCAAAAGATGGTGCTATGGCTTTGTGGTGTGTTGGCGGTGGCCCTGTCGTGGTATGGGGCGCAGAAGATCAAGGAGGTAACAGCTCAGCGGTCTAATGTCAGCTCAAAAATGTTCAAAACATTCATGCAACACGCGATGCTTTTGCTGCAATTTTGGCAGATAGAAGCGTTGTGACGTGGGAAGCCTGGACTACGGTGGCGACAGCGCCGAAGTCAGGCATCAACTCAGGAATGTTGAGTACATTTATGCTACACGCAGAGCCTTCGCTGCCAGTTTGGCAGATGGGGCAATCCAGACTACGGTGGCGTCAGCAATCAAGTGAGGGATCAGCTCCTGAATGTTCAGCAGGTTCATGCCACAGAAGTAGCATTTGCTGCAATTTTGGCCGACAAAAGTGTTGTGACATGGGGCGGTCTGGGGTGACAGAACCCAAGTCAGGGATCAGCTCGTGAATGTTCAGCAGATTCATGCCACAGCCAGAGCTTTTGCTGCAGTTTTGGCAGATAAAAGCGTTGCGACGTGGGGAAGAACAGCCTACGGTGGCTACAGCGCCAAAGTCAGGGATCAACTCAGGAATGTTAAGCACATTTATGCCACACGCAGAGCCTTCGCTGCCAGTTTGGCAGATGGAAGCTTTGTGATGTGGGGTGATCTCGCCCGTGGCGGCAACAGCACCGCAGTCAGTGATCAGTTTCGATATCTATAGCAGCAAGTTGCCTGCGAATCGCAAAGGCTGCTTGGTAAGCATGGCCTTGCAGCATGACAAAAAGGACCATAGATAGGGATGACTCATAATTTTATACAACAGCCGGCCTCGAACAGATGCACAAGCGCACCGCCACGCATAATTCAAAATTATTCAAACATATCCCGCCGATGGGTGTTTCAAGCATGTTTTTTGGTGTTCCGGGTTCGCTTCAATAATGATGTGTGTAAATGCTTTTAATATATAGACAGAGGATTTGGGATTTGGTTTTGTG